AGAATGATGAGAAGAACAGGAAGGTAATGAAGGATTTCGTGAACCAGTATTTCAACCTGAAGGAATCACTGCAAGCCTTTATGTCGCTACCAGGGTCTTTTTTTTTTTTTTTTTAGTTCTTTATTAAGGAGATTTTTAGCCTATGGCTAGTTCATCTCCGAAGAAAGGAGAGGGCTCAGAGTGAGTAACCTCTAGATACATGGTATATTAACATTAAGTTAATAACTTTGGTTGCTGGCTCTTCAACTTATATGAAAAAATAACAATATATAAAATAATGAAACAGAGGAACAACAGAAAACAAAATGATTTAAGACAAGCTACAAACGATTAATCCAAACAAAACAGAGCTCAGCTGGCATGGGTCCAATAGGGGAAATCCATCCAGCTGAGATGTTCCGACGGCCGAAAGAATTTCCTGCTATACCAAGTGGTAGATTTTGGCTTCATTTAAGAAGGTTATCATTCCCGAGCAGATCGCTGATGCTGGAAGTTAGGCAGAGTGACTCCCGAAGATTTTGGAACTCCGGGCAGTTGCACAGGATGTGTTCGACGGTATAGGGTACCCCACAGATGATGCAACTTCTGCGGAACGGCAGGCCACCATAGTTATAGTAGAGTTTAGTGTGCCCGGTTCGAAGCCGCGAAATCACGCGTTGATCCCTCAGGTTGTCCAGTTCTCTCCATGGTCCATGGTTGACCCTTTTACTTTGCGGATGAAGGCAGTTCTGTTGCGGAGCCACTCAGCTTCCCATGCCGCTCGAATGGTCCGCATGATCCACCGTCTGACGTCCTGTAGGGGTACCTTGTTGGTGAGTCTGGGACCCGATGTCCCAGCTCGGGCAAGGTGATCAGCAGACTCGTTACCTGGCACTCCGCAGTGTCCGGGAATCCATGTGTACACGGTGTTCGGTGGGGCGTACTTGATAATCGCCTGGATCCATGGGTGTTTTGGTGCTTCCGAGGTGATCGCTTGAACGACGCTGTGTGAGTCGGTTAATATAAGTATCGGTTTGTTGGCTGGCGTCGTAGCGGCACGGAAGATCGCTGCAGCCTCGGCCGAGAAAACCGAACATTGTGGAGGAAGACTGCTGCTTTCAGCAATACCGTCTCCAAAAATCCCGATACCTACTCCGTTTATCGATCGGGAGCCGTCGGTGTACCGATGGACGTGGTCGGCATAGTTTTGAAGCTTTGAAGCGGTTCTTGATCCGATTGTCCAATTGGATTCGTGACGAGTGCCAACTGTTCTCTCCATGCCAATGAACTTTGGCCACTGGGGGGAGGTTGATGTCGGCGGCCGTGCAGAGGACTCTGTTCCCCTCGTCGAGGAGAAAGATCCTATTGTTTCCGGAGGTCTTGGCGGAAAAGGCGGCGGCTTTTGTGGCAATATTTGCGTTTAAGCAAAACCGGAAAGGAAGAAGACTCGCTTCGATGCATGCAGCGTCTGCTGGAGTGGATGGCAGGAGACCAGATATGATGCGGATGTAGCTGTTGTAGACTGGTTTTAGGGTTCTAATCAGCTTCTCGGAAGCTATGCAAGTAATTTCCGTCCCGTAAAGCAACCTACTGTCGATGATGGCTCGCGCCACCCGGAACCGAACATCGTGGTTGTTGGATCGGTGAGGCCGAGAGATCGTTTTAACGAGGTTGAGTCTACTGCGGCAGTCCTTTTTGACCTGTTGGAAATGCTGGTCGAAGGAGAGCGTTCGGTCGATCAGTACGCCGAGGACGCGAACTGTTTTCTTGTTTGGAATGGCTTGCTCGTGGATCATGATTGGGGTGCTATTGACTCGGTGCTGAGACGGACATACGTGGCATCGGATGCTCTTCCTGGCGGATAGTTGGAAACCCATCGAGTCGGTCCATTTGACGACGGCAGAGACTGCCGCTTGCGCTTGCCGTAGGGTTCGGATCTGTGTAGGACCGGAGGCCACAATCAGCACATCGTCAGCGTAAACAAATATATAAATGCGCCCAGGTAGCCGGTCAAATACCCCGTTCATTGCCACCAGAAACAACGTGACTGCGATAACGGAGCCTTGAGGGACTCCGGTCTCCTCGCTGAAACTTTTCGACCGCGTGTTCCCCACCAATACACGAAATGACCGGTCGGTCAAGAAGTTTCGTATGAAATACATCATATGCCCCTTCAAGCCCCAGTTTGTTAGTTTTTTCAGGACGGCTGGCGTCCACGTCCGGTTAAAAGCCTTGGAGATGTCCAAAGAGATGATTTCAACGTGGTGTTCCTGGTCGTAAGCTTCCTTGAGCACGTCTCCCAGAGTGGCAAAGTACGTGGACGTACCGACACCTTGTCGAAAGGCATGTTGTCGGTGGTCGAGCAAGCTGTTGGTCTCAAGGAACATCTTGAGTCGACGGTTCACCATTCGTTCGAATACCTTGGCCATGCAGGATGTGAGAGCGATCGATCGGAACTTAGATGTGCCCCTGTCTTTTTCGTTTGCCTTCGGAATGGGCACGACGAGACTCTCCTTCCACAGCGTCGGGTAGGTATCAGAGACCCAGAGTTGGTTGAGCATCTCAAGCATGCAACACTTGCCCTCAAGGGGCAGCTTTTTTAAAAGTGGATACCCGAGATCGTCAGGTCCCGCAGATTTGCCGTTGCTGCGGCTTAGTGCGTGCTGGAGTTCCTCCCAGGAGAAAGGCTCGTTGATCTCGAGGTTGTCCGTGTCAGGCGGGATGCTGAACTCAGCGACTGATGTACGGGTAGGCTTTGCCAACCGCTGGAAGTGGCTATCGTAACCGGAGATGGCCGAAATTTCGGCGAAATACCCTCCGAGTTCTTCGGCGACGGCTGCCGGTTCGGAGATGGTAACTCCGTTAGCTTGTACATGTAATGGCGTCGAGTGCCGTTTACCGCTGAGAGCATTAACCCTGCTCCAGAGATCGGCAGAGGACTGGGAGGCGTTGATGCTTTCAAGGAAACCAGACCAACTGTTTAGCTTCGCACTTCTCACTTCTTTTCTGCATTGAATATGCAGTGCACGGTACCGGGTTAGTAGCTCTTCCCTGTTTGGGTCATCTCTCGGGGTTCGCCTGAGTTTCCGTAGAGCTTTCCGGCGGGCTTTAACGGCTTTTTTGGTGTCTTCGCTCCACCAACGGAGGGCTTTCCGTCCAGGTAGGCTACTGGTCTTTGGTATGGTAGCGGATGCAGCATCTAACACCAACTTAGAAAAATCCGGGATGGTTAGCGGATTGCGTTCGAGGATCAGCGACAGAATTGTCCCCTGATACCCATCCCAGTCAGCCTCGTCGTACCGCCAGCGAGGCCTTTTCGTGACTTCTGGGGCCGTGGCTGACGAAAGCTGCATTTGGATGGGGTAATGATCACTTCCGTACAAATCCGCATTGGTGCACCACGTGACTTTTCCTGCTATGGAACGGCTGATCGAAGAGACTTCGATAGCCATGGCGTGACGTCCGTTGAAGAATGTTGGGTTTCCATGGTTGAGCACCGCCATGTCTTCCTGATCGAGTAGGTCCATTAGGATGCTTCCTCTAGGATCCGGACGAGGACAGCCCCAAGTTGGATGATGCCCATTGAGGTCTCCGACAAACATCCTTGGTTCGGGTAGCTTGCTGAAAACGCCGGTGATTTTATTTGACAGATTTTGTAGCAATGTTCCTCCACATGGCAGGTATGCACAGGCAATCGCAATGTTTGCCGGCTTCTCCAATTGAACAGCAACTATGGGAAAATCAGTTCCCAGGTCAATCTTGTTAAAATGTATGCTCCTTAGAACACCAATGGCTACGGAGTGGGGAAAATTGCTGCCTCTTTTGAGGGTCCAAGCGTATTTTCCGACTACCGGGGTCTAGTGCGAGTGTATGTACAGCTTCAACGATGCTGCAAGTCCCAGTTGGTACAATTCGTGTGAAGTTACCTGAATTGAAGCTTCTTGTTTTCCGTGGTTCATTGATGGAATGGGTCACATTTCGAGATTCTTTTCAAAATCATAAAAAAACCCACACTTTTCGGATATTGATAGGTTTACATACCTACGATCGTCATTAGCAGGTGAAGCCTTGCAACAGATTGTATCAATCGATCTTACTGCGGACAATTTCTCGATAGCGTGGAGCTCGCTGGAATCACGCTATGCGAACAAGAAGCTCTTGGTAAAGTCGCATTTGGATGCATTGTTCGCAGTACAGCCCATGAAGAAGGAGACGTTTGAGTCACTTAACCATGTGATCAACGAATATGATAAAACCTTGCAAATGTTCGATAAATTAGGAGAACACACAGCTGATTGGAGCACAATGTTGGTCCATATGCTTTCAAGCGAGTTGGATGCCACAACGCTTCGTTTGTGGGAAACGGAGCATCGTTCAAAGGAAGTTCGAAGGTTTGAGAACTTGATGGAATTCCTGAGAAATCATCGTACGGTTCTGCGATCAATCACCGGAGAAAATACTAACCCACCAGAACAGAGGAAAGCATCTAGGGTAAGCAGCAGTTACGCCGGAATGCAGTCATCATGTCTATTGTGTGGTGAAGGACAACACATGGTGTTTCAGTGTAAACGGTTCAAGTCAATGAAGGTTGACGAAAGGAGAAATGCTGTAAGATAGAATCAACTTTGCTGCAATTGCTTGTCTCGAGGACATGCTGCCAAGGTCTGAACACGGGGAACTTGTCGTATTTGTGGACAGCGACATCACACTATGTTGCACTTCAACACGAATGAATGGTCTAATAATCAGTCAGTTCCACAGTCAAACAAGCGTTGTCAAAAGGGCCCACAGATCCCACAACCTCACAAGCTAATAATCATGCTCCTAACACTCCTCAGCAACCTAACCTCCCATCCACAATCTCCACACCAGCTATTCCAAATTCGCAAAGTCAAACACCACGTACCACAGACATTCCTACTAGCCACAATGTGGTACTCTCTGCTAATGAACCCAAGGCACAACGATCGGTCATACTCGCAACCGCAATCGTGATCCTTGAAGATCAATTCGGGAATACTATGCAAGCTAGAGCATTACTAGACAGTGGCGCTCAGCTTTGCTTCATTTCGGAACACACGTCACAAAGTTTGAAGTTCAAACGGTCACGCGAAGCACTTTCTATTAGTGGTATTGGTCAAGCTGCAAAAAAGTGCAAGCAATCCATCTTCGCTCGGGTTCGCTCTCGTATCACTTCCTTCGCTGGGGAGGAAGTATTCTACGTACTTCCACAAGTTACGTTGAATTTGCCCATTCGGAAGATTGATTCATCAAGGTTGGATCTTCCGGAGGATATCGTACTCGCCGATCCACTTTTCAACGAGCCTAGCAGCGTTGATGTGATTATTGGAGCAGGACTTTTCTTTGACCTGCTGCGCAACGAGAAAATCAAGCTCGGGGATAATGGACCTATTGTACAAAACACTTCCCTTGGCTGGATAGTTTGTGGAAATCTTCCTGACGAGTCGAACGTGCTCAGACCACACGTTCCCAACACGTGTACGGAGAACTTGGACGAGTTACTCACTCGTTTCTGGGAATTGGAGTCGTGTAAAACGGACAGCGTACTATCGTTAGAGGAATATGCCTGCGAGAAGCTGTTCGACCGTACTTCAGTCCGAGAAGCATCTGGAAGGTTCATTGTAACGGTTCCATTCATTCAACAACTCGGAGATTCTCAGTCCACGGCATTGAAACGCTTTCTTTCTCTCGAGCGTCGTCTGGATGGTAATGCCGAATTGAAGCAGATGTACAGTGACTTCATACTCGAATATCTGCGTATGGGACATATGGAGGAGGTGCTGGAAAACGAAGAGGACGCTGCTATGCCACAGTACTTCATTCCACATCAAGCCCGACAGCACAACTACCAAGTTGCGGGTAGCGTTTGATGCGTCATGCCCTACATCGTCCGGAATCTCTCTCAACAATGCGTTGATGGTTGGTCCGACTGTCCAAGATGATATCATCGCGATCGTCCTTCGTTTCAGGTTCCATTGGATCGCCATCGTTGCAGATGCTAAAAAAATGTATCGTATGTACGTACCCAAAAGCATTTTCAGCGAATCTGGGCAAGGTGGTATCCAGAATATCTCGCCCAGTTGCAAATCCGGGCAAGCAAAGGCTGCAAGTTACCGGTTAACCTACAATTGGGACGGATCGTGGTCATCAAAGACGAAAATCTCCCGCCGGCACAATGGCCAATGGGTCGAATCACCAAACTGCATCCAGGCAAGGATGGTACCGTACGAGTCGTCAGCATGAAAACAGCTAAAGCAGAGATCGTCGTGCGACCAGTCGCCAAAATCATCCTTCTACCAATACCATCTGAATGCGAAGATCATCAATAGTCGAACTGCAAGCCGAAACTACAAAGATCGGCCGAGCAGTCCGAAACTGACTCACTGCATATATGAACTTATGAACAGCTAACAGGTGATTAGCGTTCCAACATTTCTACTTTTCCCTGTGCGTTCTACCGAGTCTTTATTTGCAGAGCACCATTCTACTCTCGTCGATACAACCAAATCACCGCTCACCATCTGCTGAATGGATCGATTCAGAAATCACCCAATCGATGAATTGACCATCTGCGACAGTCAAATTTAAATAACAGAAAACAGATTTAAATCACTAACCGTCACCACAATAATACACTACACTGCACAGTTGTCCAGAATGCAGATTTAGGTGGAATGATATGTTTTGAGCCTGAAATTGAAACTTTAGACTAAAAGTCTCTTCTACAAAGTTGTTCTTTATAGTTAGGCCCTCATTTTTATGACAATGAATTCTAGGGTGGTTCCTATTATCATTAAAATCAAAAATCTAACTTTTTTGTTTGAATAAATTAAGGTATATATTCTCATGAAATTCATCTTCTAGAGACTTTTAAAACTCTTTAAGACGAATGTTTTATAGCTGGATTTGTTGCCTGTATCTCTTCTAATAAAAAAGATATTTTTATTTATTTATTTATTTTTATTTAATACATCCATCTGACAATAAGTCTTAATGAACCAGAAGCCATAACAAATACTAAATGTATCTGGAGTTAATAATACGTCTCTGGAATTGAGCAGCAGGTTCCCCAAACTCGAACAACTCTTCAACTGTAGAAAACGTGCGAATCATACTCGTAACAGGTTCATGTTGTCCAAAAGAAGAGCGGTGTGAGTCTTGACGCAATAGGAACGTTGAGCGTAGAAATCTGCTTGGCGCACGAAAGTTCAAGCAAGAGAGTAAGTGGGTAGAGTCAATTTCACCACTTAATAACTTCGCGACGAATGTTGCCTGTTGAATTTGTCGCCGTCGTTGTAACGTGTCCATGTTTAGCAAGCGACATCTCTCAGCATACGGAGGTAAGTTTAGTGGATCTCTCCAAGGAAGTTGTCTTAATGCTCGACGAATGAATGTTTTTTGGATACGTTCTATTCTGATGTTCCAGGAAAGTTGGTAGGGAGTCCAAACAACAGATGCAGTCTCGATAATCGGACGAACGAGTGAACAGTACAGTGCTTTTAAACAGTACGGATCCGAAAAATCTCTTGAGATTCTTGATATAAAACCAAGCTGACGATTAGCCTTAGTGATTACCATTGAACGGTGTAAGTCAAACGTAAGTTTAGGGTCCAGCATTACACCTAGCTCGCTTACTTGTTCTACTCTTTCTAGTACAAATCGATCAATTGAGTAATCGAATACGATTGGCGTTCTTGTGCGATTAAATGTCATGACCACACATTTTGATATACTGACGGAAAGCTTGTTTAAGCGGCACCAATCAACAAATTGGTCTAACATTGCTTGGAGCTGACGGCAATCCTCGACGTTCTTGACAACAATGTATAGTTTGAGATCATCGGCGTATATGCTCAAATATAGTAAAAAATATGAATAAATTCAAATTGATTTTATACGAGTTTCAAAAATAACATACCTCCATTTTTTTCATATTATTGAGAATAACATACGCCCTTTCAAATGCTGCAAAAAAACTTTTTTTTTGTTTGCCCCAACCAGAGATATTAACATTTGAAAAGTGCATATTTTTAGTATAAAAACGTCAATAACTCTTGATCGACGAAAGATATTGACAAGCTTTGTGTAGCAAAAATTTGCGCCTTCTTAAGATCTAAAAGTTATCTCAAGATACCTTTGCTGATAAATTCGAAATAAGAAAACTAGAGCAAAACAACTGTTTTTTTAGAGCCACCCTAACTCAATTAAAAAAAAATTGCTCTTAATTGGCCAATTTAAGAGATACTTAAAAGTTGTTTTCAACTAAGTTGCTTGAAATTAGCTCAGCTATAACTTTGCCGAAGAATATATACCTTAATTTATTCAAACAAAAAAGTTAGATTTTTGATTTTAATGATAATAGGAACCACCCTAGAATTCATTGTCATAAAAATGAGGACCTAACTATAAGGAACAACTTTGTCGAAGAGACTTTTAGTCTAACGTTTCACTTTCAGGCTCAAAACATATCATTCCACCTAAATCTGCATTCTGGACCACTGTGCACTGTACGATCGACCCACAAGCTATTGTACACGGAAAACCCATTCAATGAAAACAAAGTTACACAATCCCATCAGTACAAAATATAAAGTCAAAGCAACCGGTAGCAGACCCAAATCGTTCCCTTTATTCCGAGCAATTAAAGCAATCCCTTCCAGTAGTGCAGTGCAATTCGAGTGATCTTACGAAATCCGAAACTGATCTCGATGGTGGCCAAAGGTGGCAATAAATCGATCACGGAATCGATTGAGTGCGTATATTTCGTGCGTGATAATCACAGTGAGTGATTCGTGACGAAGAAACCCCACGACGGTCATTAAAGATAGTGCGATAGTGAAGTGTGCTATAGTGGCGAATTACCCTTTCCCATGGTTTGGTGTGCCGCTATTGGAAATAGCGGGTAGTAATACCTCCGGTGGCCGGTAGTTAGATCTCCACGATCGAACACTCCCTCTACAGCCTTAGATGCTTAACTCAATATCCTTCCTCTTCATCAATTTATTCAACTGGATGCAGTGAAAAGTGCTCTAAGGCTCAACGGTCTATGAATTTCTTCGATGGAGATCTTATTGGACATTTGAGCATTCTAAAAGAGTTTCAGATAAGTCCATTAATATTGATGAACGAAGATTGTATGCTAAAGCGACATTATTTTAACCATAATTTCCAAGTTCCTTATGTGACTCGCAGGAAGACTGAATATTAGACATGGATCAGTACATTTCTATACAGATGGCTCGAAACAAGATAATATGGTCAGGGCTGGTATTACCGGCCCTGGGGTTAACTTCTCGGCGTCCATGGGAAAATGGCCGACAGTATTTAAAGCTGAAATATATGCCATCTTAAAATGTGCAACGATTTGCATAAAAAGGAACTATAAAAATGCGAATATTTGCATTTGTTCAGTAAGTCCAGCGGCACTGAATGCTTCGAAATCAAAAACTTACACGTCAAAACTGGTGTGGGAATGTACTAAACTATTACAGCAGCTGTCCTGTCGAAATACGGTTAACCTTTATTGGGTTCCTGGTACGTCAAGGTGGACTTCCGGCAGCTTCCGGGGCTACTGTTCTTCACCGCCCAGCACAAGTTTGATGTTCCGGAGGAAGTAAGGAAGCAGCCACTTTCAAAGTTTGCCAAGAAATACATGATTTGGCAAGCGATCTGCTCATGTGGCAAACGGAGTGCGCCGTTCGTGACTAACGGGACTGAAAACGGGGAGATCTACCCAGGGCTATGCATTTTCGAAACAAAGAAAAGTAAATGAACTCTCCGCAGAATCGCTTCATTTCGAGCAACATCATTTTCATGAAGGTCATCGTGTTTCTTGTTATCGAGTCACGATGAACATTCCTCCTTTCAAAAATGACTTGACTATCGCTTGTTTCGTTCGTCAAGTGCTTCAGTTCATTTCATTTGAAACAAAGACTTGCTTCGATTAACGCAATGAATGACTCGAAACTGCTTCCTTCGTTTTTTTCACTTTCACTTCAATTCGGGCTCATTCGACTAGTCACGCATCGCGTCTCAAGCATAAAAATATAGTATCCGCTCAATATCGGTTCCCGATAGGGATGGCATCCGAATTATATGGAGTTATAATATATTATTTTATATTAAGCGAACATTAAATTAACGAGGCCATTCTAGAGTTCAAGATGGCGGCCATCGGGTTTCAGAAGAAGTGTCAAATACCCTACAATGGGATATTTTCCTCGATATATTCGGAACGGGGATAGCACGTTGATGCTGAAAATCGACACCCGGTGCCATTTTGGAATTCAAAATAGTGAAAATTGGTTTTTGGAAGTGTAAAATACCCTAAGATATGGGTATTTTAGGAACGGGAACAACGCGTAGATGTCAAAAATCGATATCCGACGCTATGTTGGAATCCAATATGGCAGCCATCAGAGTTAAGAAAGCGTCAAACACCCTACAATATAGTTATTCTTGGAACGGGGACAACGTGTAGATGCCGAAAATCGATATCCGATGTCATTTTGTAATCCAATATGGCTGTCATCAGGTTTCAGTGTGTCAGGGTCAAATACTCTAATATAAGGTTTTTTTTCGGAAAGAGAACCTTTCCGATTCCCACGACGCGTAGATACTGAAAATTGATATTCGATACCATTTGCAGATCATTTGACACTTCTTTTGAAATCGGAAGCCACCGTCTTGAATTTCAAATGGCGTCGGACATCGATTTCTGGCTTCTAGATGTCACCCCCATTCCAAAAAACCCACATTGATCGGTATGTGACAGTATTTCACAGTTTCTCTGAACTAAAGCCGCAATCTTGGATTTAAAGACGGTGTGTCATAAATTTTCGGAATCTACGTCTCATTCCCATTCTAAAAA